ATTTTTTTACACAGGATATATTTTAAAATGCTACGTAATATGGGATCCTATTTTTATCCATATTTGGAAAATTTAAAAGAAGAAGAACTAAGATGTTATTCCTCTGTTTTCAATAATGTGGTTCTACCAATTTATTTTTTATGTATTATTTTATTTAGTCTGTTTTTAAGTATTAAAGTAAAGCATAAGCATATATCAACTGAAGAAAACCCTCAACTAAATATATTTATCAATTTTCTTAATATGGTTTTACATGCAAGTTTCTAGAACACTATTAGAACACAGTTTGTTTTTAAATTTTCAATTTTTTATTCCTTTTGAAAATTAATTGTTATTCATATATATTAAAATTAGCACTTAAATATTCAATTTTATGAAGCCTAACAACTGGGCACATTTACACAGTACTGTCCAAGCAAGCTACAGTGCATTTCTATGACCCCATGATTTTTTCTTATCCTTTTCTTTCTTTTAATGGAAACCAACAAGGGATTAGATTGTGACCAATATCTGGGTTCTCAGTGGAGAAATATGTGCTTCTTTCAGGGGGTGTGTCCTAAAACAACCAAGAAAAACTAGATTCTGGTCCCTTATTTTTTCTGTGATGTCTATATTTTAGCCAGTGGTATAGGTTTGGGTAGACTCTGGGAGTTGGTGATGGACAGGAAGGCCTGGCATGCAAAGAGTCAGACATGACTGAGTGACTGAACTGGATTTGTCTGTCTAGTATGTGCAGGCAATAACAAAGCAGTCCTTGCCTTTTTGAATCAAAGGAACAATTTTATTTAATGGCTCTATTTTGTGGATAACATATGTAGAGCAAAGATTTTAAGTCCCAGATTCAAGTTTCACCATGGGAGATAATGCTGAGGAATTATAACAAGTTTAAAAATGTAAAACAAAAATTATCTAAGGATATATAACTGTATTAACTTAAAATTTAAACATTATTAATAAATTGAACTAAAACAGCAGTGCCAAATTCAGGTTCTTAAAAATCTTCTTTAAAAAATTCAGCCTACTTGCAGTTAGAACCTGAAATTTTAAGAATGTAATAATTCCAACAATTAGGACCTAACTTGAGAATCACTGGAAATTTGGGTCAATCAAGCAAGGAAGGAGGTGTCAAGAAGGCAGAGTAGAAAGATCCTAAATTCACCTCCTTCAGGCACACCAAAATGACAGCTATTTACAGAAAACCTGTATCCCTGGGTGGCGAAGATCCCCTGGACAAGGAAATGGCAACCCACTCCAGGATTCTTGCCTGGAGAATCCCATGGACAGAGGAGCCTGGCGGGCTACAGTCCATGGGGTCTCAAAGAGCCAGACACGACTGAAGTGACTTAGCAGACAGACAGAGCAGCTATTAACAAGAAATACTGGGAGACCAGCAGAAAAGATATTCCACAACCAACAGTAGGAAGTAAGAACAACAGGGCGGGTGGAAGGTGGCAGAGACGCAGGAGAGTTAAGAACCAGGTATAAGCTGGGGAGGGGAGCAATTTGCAGAAGGAGGTTATCCCCTAGGAGCAGGGAGACCGAACCCTGAAGCTGGGGTCCGGGCCTGCGAAAAATCAGCCCCCAGGACTTTTGGCTTTGAAGGCCAGAAGGGCTCACTTTAGGGAAAGCCAGAGGGCTGTGGGCAATAGACCCTGCACCTAAAGGACACACACGCAGTCTGTTGTTAGTCACTCAGTCGGGTCCGACTCTGCAACCCCACGGACTGTAGCCCGCCAGGCTCCTCCGTCCATGGGATTCTCAGGCGAGAGCACTGGAGTGGGCTGCCATTTGAGAACCAGGAGAGAAGCAGCAATTCTGAAGAGATCCTGGGTCAGATCCACGTGCTGATTTCTGAACACCTTTCGGAGAGGCAGGCAAGAAGTGGAGCTCACCCTAGGACCTAAGACACTGGCGTCAGCCAACTCTGAGTGCACGTTTACCGTTAGGTCACTGGAGCGGATAAGCAGCATTTGGGAATCCTCCTCCTCCCTTATTACCCTTGGGGCCTGGCCACGCCCAGAAGCTGGTACTGGGTCACATCAGGCCAAGCAACTAGGCCGGAGGGGACACGGCCCCAAGCTCCAGCAGGCCAGCTGCCTGAGGACCCAGACCACACAGCCACCCTAGAAACTGACCCCGTATGCTAAAGGTCTTACAACTCACCCTGCACACAAATGTGCCAGCTAGTAGCGCCCAGGACTCTCAAAGTCCTGCCGCCAGGGACCCCAGGACCAGGCTGTGCCTACAGGTGGACTGGCGATCACTCCAGGACCATCCTCACTCACCTGCAGTCACATTCACAAGACCCCCCGGGCCGTGGCCTCATCCACCAACAGGGAGATGCCAGTCCCAGAATGCCTACTGTCTTCACCCAGACACCCTGGGCCCAGGTTCTGTACACCACAGGGCTGGCAGTAGTCCAAGGACCCTTGGACCCTGGCCCTGATCAGCAGCAGGCCATCATCAGCTTCAAGGCAACTTGAACGCCTCAGTCAGCTTCCCCGGGACCCAGCCCCACTAGCCAGCAGGCCGACGTGCACTTTGGACCCTTTAGATCACTCAGCCAGCAGTGTCAGGAACTGGCCCTAACCCTAACCCTAACCCTAACCCTAAGCCCCACTTACCACCAGGTCAACAACAGACCTGGCTCCCAGAGCCCCAGAGTCACCAACCCCAGATTCCAACTTCTCCAACCAGTGGACCAGGCATCCTCCCTGCAAAGGCTTTGCAGAAAGTCACCTTGTGACCCAACCTTGCCAACCAAGCACCAGTAGCCTCCACACAAGAGAGATCCTGGCAAGGAACTAGGCCTGGGGTCAGCCACGCCTCCCGGACTGCTCACAGGTATTAGCTTGCCAAAAGAGAAAGACCTATGCAGTGCACATAGGGGGCATCAGAGCATAGGGTTCAGGTCACCAGATGGGAGACCCGGAAGATATTTCCTACAAAAGGCCACTTCCCCAAAGTTTGGCAGCAAAACCAACTTACCAAGGTGGTACACAGAAGGAAAAACAGCAAATTGGGAGAAATGAGGCAGCAAAGTAACGTGTTCCCAACAAGTCCATGAAAGACAAAACTTCAGAAGAATGAGGGGAAGTGGAGATAAATGATCTACCTGGTAACGAGCTCAAGCTAATGATCTTAAAGGTGTTCAAAGAGCTCAAGATAAATTGGATGAATAGAGTTTAGAAGTTAAAAGTTTTTAACAAAGAATTAAAAAACAAATCAGACCAGAGGGACTTAGACAGACAGAGAGGTAGAGAAAATATTCTACTCAAAGTAGCAGAATGCATATTCTTTTCAAGCGCACATGGAACATTCTTCAGATAGATCACATGTTAAGCTACAAAACAAGTTCCGGTAAATTTAAGAAGTTTGAAATCATATCAAAACTTATTTTCCAGTGAAAATGCTATGATTCTAGTAATAAAGTGCAGGCAAAAATTCTGAAATAAAGAAACACCAACATTGACATGACTAAACAATTTGCTACACTATTATCAATGAATTACTTAAGAAATTAAAAATACCTGGAGACTAATAAAAATAATTATTTTTTATTTAAATTTAAGTTTTTGGGAGTCACTGACTTTATTTTCATTATTTATTTTATTTATACTAAATATAAAACAATTTATCAGTATCTTGTCTATTCATTATCAAACCATACTATCCAGTCTCCAGAAACCATCATTTTAACTTCTAATCCCAAATATTAGTTTTACTTTTCTGTGTCCTCATACAAATGAAATGCAATATAAGCTATCTTCTGTCTAGCTTATTATGTTTTGCAAAATGTCTACAAGATTTATCCATGTGTTAGCTGTTCCTTTCCTTTTTATTGCTGAGTATGAATATATTACTATGTTTAAAATCCACTCCAGTATTTTACCCACTCTTTTACAGATGAACATTTGGATTGATTTCAGGTTTTGCTGATTATAAATCCTGTGCTCTGATTCATGTCAATGTATGACAAAACCCACTACAATACTGTAAAGTAATTAGCCTCCAACTAATAAAAATAAGTGAAAAAAAAAAAATCCTGTGCTCCAGGATTTCTGTGAGCACAAGTGAAAATATATTTTTGATAAAATTCAGGATAGGAAGAGAACTTAGTCTGATAAAGGGCATCTCGGAAAAGTTCTACAGTAAATACCTTACATAATCATGAAATACCAAACTTAGTTCCTTTCGGAGAAGGAACCAGGAAAAAATGTCTCCTATCACTGCTTTATTTCAATGCTGGAATTTCTAGCCAGTGCAACACTCCAAGAAAAAGAAATGAGAAGCATAAAATTGGAAAGGAAGAAGTAGAATGGTCAAGGTTCTTAACATCATTGTTTATGGAAAATACCCTTACAAACATTACCAAAAAATCTAGAAGATCAATATCTCAAATTTGTAACATTGTAGGATGCAGTCAATATACAAAAAGAAATTTTATTTGTATACAATCTACTGAATATTTGGAAAATTAGATTTAGAAAAATATAATTCATAACCATAAATCTTTTTAAGCAATGTCATTAAGATATAATAGACAAAAGGGCTATATATATTTAATGTATATAGCTACATGAGTTTGGAGACAAGAATAGTAAATAAGGAGAATAGGAGGAAACCTTTAAACATAATGAATGTTTACAGCACAAATAATCCTTTAAAAACAGACTGTTCTCAAATTTTGGTTTTCCTTTATATCCTGCCCTGGCCAAGACTTCTTCACCCCCTTCGGCTAGCACACTGTACCCCATTTCTCCTCTTATTATAATAACTAGCTATGGTAACAAAGTATGTATTGTGGAGCTAGTACATGCAGAGATCTGTAAACTCAGAAGATACTAAGCATCATATTAATATAAAAACATTAAAGAACTAGTCAATTATTTACTTCATTTTAAAACTTTCCATGGACACTTTTACTAGCTGTTTTCTTTGGAAGGCCACCACCCTCAGCTACAGAGCAGACTAATCACAACCATGACTATTAAACGTACCTTGGGCACACATTCATACCTCTGCTTTAGAGCTCAGAATCAGTAATCTGTAGGGATTAAAAAAAGTCATTTCCACCATTACTGGTCCTTCTACTTTCTACCTGGAGCTCTAGAAAACGACTTCTCTTTCCAGCCCCGTAGTAATGACAGCACTACTTTGAAGCCGAGTCTTTTGCAGCACTTCTTCTCTCCATCTCCTCTTTGACCTACTTGTCTGCCTTTTCCAAAATTCTCTATATCTCACTGCAGAGTAGCTCCTCTGGCCAAGCTTTTAAGCCATCTGTTTTTCGTACCCTATCCAATTTAGGATGTGCTCAGAAGTCTTTAATTACAAAGGTGAAGGCACTCATTAAGGTGCCTTAGTCAAAAAGACAGTTGTCTTCCTAGGGGATGCGATAGACAGCTCTTACACTAAGCACTTTTCCCCTCGGTGAGTCAAGATCACTAGAAGCACAAACGTGCAGTCGAACTCACAATCGCTAGCCCACTTCAGTTTTCTTTTGATAATGAAGATGAGTCACAGTCATGAGTCACAATTAAAGTGTACTTTTCTACCTTCTAGTCTTCAGTTATTCATCATAATATTCCAAATGTAGAATATATATTAGATGAATATATCTTGAAGCCTTTGGATAATATTTTTATATTCACTTTTAAATATAATTAATAACCAAGGCCTATTTATTTGACAACAATAGGAGCAAAGAAGGGTTCAAGATTGGGCCCCACAGGTCAACTAGTTCATTATGTGTTAGAGGATTTAGAAAGGAAAATACTGTTAATTATATCAAGCAGGGCACAGCTTAAGCTATTAGTAAATACCTGGGAATTAATTAATATCAGTTCCTTTGGAAACAAAAACAGTTCCCAGTATTCTGTCTCTATCTTTCTCTCTCTTTTCTGTAAGAGTAGTCTATGATGTTATTATGGATCAAAATCGATTTGCCTGGATCAGTTCTGAATGCAAAGTCTCAGGATGCAACTTCCAACTTCAGTCAAAACAGACTGTAACAACTGCTGGACATTAAAATATGCTCTGACCATCGGAAATGGTTAATGTTTCCAAATTCTCAGCAGATTAAGTAACATACTCTGGGAAGACTGACTCAAATGGAAAACAGTTGAACTTTAATTAAGACACTACTTTGTAACAATGTGGCTAGAATTGCAGGGTATTATGCTAAGTGAAATAAGTTAGGGAAAGAAAAATACTATGTGATATCATTACACATAGAATCTAAAAATGCACAACACTCACAGATAAAGAGCTGGGCACGTCTGAGGGCCTCTCACCTCCACAGATACAGAGAAAAAACCAGTGGTTACCAGTGGGGACAGGTAAGGGGGAGGGACAATATAGGGGTTGAAAGTCAGAGGCAGAAACTCTTAGGTACAAAATAAGCTGAAAGGATATCTTGTACAACATGGGGTATATAGCCAATATTTCATATTAACTATAGTTGAAGTATAATCTTTAAAAATTATGAATCACACAATACTGTACACACATAACTTATATTAGACAGAAGCTATACTTCAATTTTTAAAATGAGGATACTTTAGGACGACAATAAAGTGTGTGTATGTGAGTCACGTGGTCGTGTCTGAATATTTGTGACCCCATGGACTGGATCTGCCAGGCTCCCCTGTCCGTGGAGTTCTCCAGGCAAGAATACTGGAGTGGGTTGCCATTTCCTTCTCCAGAGGACTACAATAAAAGATGTCTTTAACATATAGAAACCAAACAAGGAAGGAGGCAGAAACAGTATAAGTAGCAGCCAAGTGACCTGTAAAGTGCACTTCCTGCTGCACTGTAATCTTCCTCTCCTGTAAGAATAATTATCCTTCTAGGATAAGAGACTACACCGGCTAACAATATACCGATGTTTCCAGAACAAAGCCCCCACACTGTCAGTGAGTGACTAATCTGAAGATATGAATTAAAATAATCCGAAAATAACTATTCATTGTTTCCAAGGTGAAATTGATCCTTAGTTTTGGAATGTCATACACTATTTGAATGCTAAACACAGGTTCCAGTCATTTTGGGGGGAAAAATCTTGTACCATTTTTGTGGCTAATAAAATGATTGACCCAAATTTTCCTCTGTGCTTATTCTATGCTGCCCACCTTCACTTCGGATATTTATGAGGGGAGGCAGGAGAGACTGATTTCTGTATCCGAAATCAGGAGCTTTGTGTTAGGCGTCCAATTGTCATGTCATATTTGTGCATAATGATGATAAACAGGGTCTTCGGGAAAATGAAGCACACTTAGTGAAGGGTAATTTAGGAGATTTTAATAAAGGAATTGTTTACACAATGTGTGCGATTGAGGGGAATGTCCAAGAGGCATGCAGAGTCCTGCGTGTAGCATCCGAATGGATAAAGCAAGGTGGCGATACGGAGTCTGGGGAGGGCACCCCTGGACAGAATCGACAGAGACACAGACAGAACGACTGTTCACATGTCAGCGCTGGGAGCTAAGACTGTCCGGGGCAAGAAAGATGCGTGATCATCCTATTTCTAGAGGTCATTAAATAAGACCTAGAGCTTCTTCAAATGCTAAGAGAGGCCGTTTATATCCCCAAGTATTCTGATTCATCTTATTTAAGGTAGGGTTAGACATCCGTAATTTTTATGGCCAAAACAGATGATTCTACTATATAGACAATATTGCTAGACTGCTCAGTATTTTGCTTGTGTAAAAAGTGATTATCGTAGAAATTTGGACATTATAGTTATTGTCGTGTAGACATAGACCACATTTTCTTTTCTCTCTCCTATACCCTTCAGTTGCTTTCCATCTTCAGAACATGCTATAAGGCTTTGTATGTATTTATTTATCTTTTTGTCTTTCCTCCATTTGGCAAGAAATTTTTACCTCTCTAACCTGGATACATTTGTGGTCTTGTGTGTGTTTGTGTATGTTCAATCACATCTGACTCTTTTTGACTATATTGACCATAGTCCACCGGGCTCCTCTGTTCATGGGATTTTCTAGGCAAGAATGCTGGAATGGGTTGCTATTTCCTTCTTCATTTATGGTCTTTTAGTAGGCTAAATCAGTAATATTCTGAACAAAGGTAGAGATAGATTTTTTTAAGGCATGAGTAAAAGGCACAAATAAGTGACATCTGTATCAATATACATAAAAATGTTGGATTTTAAAACTATTCCAATCCACATTAACACATACTCTGTATCACGCTTTTACTGATAATTTCACACTGAGAATTCATCCTTGAAAGAAATAGGAATAGAGTTTCAAAGTAAGAAAAATTAAAATGTTATTTGAGCAGTTAAATTTTAAAAACTGTTTCATTTAGTTTCATTCCAACTAAATCCAACAAGTATTTAGTTGGAGACATTACAAAAATTTATGAAAACTGTTCACCATGAAAACAAAGGAGGTTCTATTCGGACACTCTTATACTTGTTTGGTCTGATGCAATTATTGTTTAAGTCTATTTGACAGGAATCATATCTTTCCTCTGAATCCTGAAGGGAGTTAAAGATATCACTGGTAGTCATTTAATGACAAATAATGCTAAAATACTATTGTTTCTGCTCTGAGAATCAAGATAAAATGTTAAAAGTCACTTTGTATGAAGCTATAATCCAATTCTTTTGTCTGAGCTGCAACTTTCAAAAACCGCTTAGTATTTTTTACCTTTGCATAAAGTGATTATGAAAGGGAACTGGGACTCACATTGCATTTCAACAAATAGAATGCTAGTGGTGAGAAAGACACAGGGCTGGATGCTAAAGAAGAAACTCGAACATCCAACACTTACAACATGCTGAATAAAATTGAGACAAAGATGTGAAGAAGTACAAAGCCATCTGTGAGTTAGATCAAAATGACCAATGCAGCTTATTGGGATAATAAGATCAGAAAGATTTGAGATTTAGTCTAGAAAATAAAGTAAGGATGAAACTTGTATTATACTTTATAAAGGGATAAGTGAGTCAAACAGAAACAAAGAAAGTGGCATGCCATGATCCCAGGTTTTCTTTCACAACGTTTTTGCCCTGCGTGAAGAGTCCAGAAGTGGTCCCTGAATTCCTATTGCTCTATGCCGTCTCTGAGTCACCTCACCTTCCAAAGCTGTGCCTTAATTACCACACACAAATCTAAAGCTGCAGGATCTGTTTCGCTACAGGTGTATTTACACCTGAGTGCCAGGTATAGTTACTGCAGTTACCTACAGAGCCTCTTCAAAATAAAACATTCACAATTCAGTGAACACTTTCTAATGCTGGACCCTTTCTCCAGTATTTTAGAGCTCCAGCACTGTCCCCAAATCAGTGAGACACAAGCCTGGAAGAGGGTAAAAAAGGTGTTTGCTCTGGTTCCATGGATACCTTTACAACAGAGTAAATGTATCTAAGAAATGTAGCAATGAGGTGGAAAAGATACCATTGTGATGGACATGGGTTGGAAGAGATAGTCAGGGTGAGCCAAGAACCTTCAGGTATGAAGAGGAATATGACAAATCTTTAGAGATTATCAGCGAGGAAACTCTGTTAACCTCAAAGGAATAACGATGAGTTGAAGAAAAACCATTTTGATAAGATTTTTCTTTTTTAAAAAAAGATGAAGGATACTTCAATTTTCTTGATTTTGATCTTTTTAGAAAGCAAGACAGATTTTCCACAGAGTTAAAGTGTTGGGTATGGAAGTAGAAGCTTGAGTCATGTTTTGATATTTAATAGGTTGTTTGTGGAACATGGAAGTTTTATCCAGAGGTGATTCCATGTTAGCTTTCCTTTGATGCAAATAATCAATTGGATATATGAAATAGGATTACATTCATCTCTCATTTTAATGAGGTGATTCAGACGGGAAAGAATCTGCCTGCAATGCAGGAGAACCGGGTTCAATCCCTGGGTCAGGAAGATCCCCTGGAGAAGGGAACGGCAACACACTCCAGTATTCTTGCCTGGAAAATCCCATGGATGGAGGAGCCTGGCGGGGTCCATGGTGTCTCAAAGAGTCAGACACGACTGAGTGACTAACACTTTCAGCTTTCGTTTTCACCTCACAATTTATTGAGCATAGCCTCTGATCTCACCGTC